GAGAGGTGGTGGAATCACCATCCCTGGAAGCATTCAAAAAAACGGGACTTTGGGACATGGTTTAGTCTAGTCTACCCTTAATTGGTTTAGTGTGGACTTGGTAATGTTAGGTTAATGGTTGGACTGGATGATCTTAAAGGTCTTTTCCAACCTAAACGATTCTATGATTCTAAAGCCAGAAACCCCAGAGAAAGATGCTTCATTCCCTAGACAGTTTACTTCTGTATAGATATTGAGATGAGAATATTACCATTAAAAATAACACATACTCAAAGGTTAACCCTTCACCTAACCATTTTAAAATGTTCTAAGGAATTCCCATGTTTCAGACTATGGAACAACATAATTTACTAAAACATATTTTGAAAGATCAAGTGCAGAAATCCTGTCGCAGTTACTGAAGTCTTCACCATGTGGCAATATCTGGAAGAATAAAGAATGAAGGGATAGGAAGAGGAAGGAAAAAGAAAATACAGAGAGAGAAACCTCCAATTCTTCCCCTGCCTATGTTCAATCACTTGCGTTATCATGATTGATACAAACTTTCAACATAACCTTCACAAAAGATTCAATAATAATGTTGATCACCAAAAAAAAAGCATTTTCCCCAGAGTATTTTTAGTTCATCACATACGAAAAGTTTCAGTATATGATTTGAAGTCAGATATTTTTATATACAAATAAATAGGACAGTTTCATAATTTAATTAATTCTTATTTTAAAATTACTCATTATTCTAGAAAGTTACTGAATTATAGAACATCCACTAACATCTATTACTAATTTCTCTATGATTCTATTACTAACTTCTCCTAACAACAGCCTAAATACAGATTTTTTTTGTTTGTTTGTTTGTTTTTAGCAGTATAAGTAATAAGATGTTAGAAGCTCTTACTAAAAAAAAAAAAATCTTTTTTGCTTAAGGAAGGAAAGGTAATTTGAAAAACAGTTAGCTGCACTTACTTTAGAAAATCCATAGCTGCTTCATCAATACTTATCACACGAAGGGTGAGAACTGAGCTCTGCTTAACACTTTCTGGAAGGTTATGATCAACACTTCGGAAAGTTAGGTTAGCTCCCTGTTGGTAAAGCATACAATGACTTACAAATAGGTCTTGTATTTCATAAAATACATTCTACAAGACTTTCAAGAGGTATGATTGTTAGAAGCCTTGGTATGAAATGATGAAAAGATGTAGCTAAGGTCAGTTAACCTTCTTAACAGAGCCTTTCTAGTACTAAATAAGAACAGCTACAGGCTCCAAGATACCATGTTATCCTCTACATAGAGGTTTATCTAATAAGAGGGCCTACTGTTGCCTAACCTACAGCCGAGAAACACAAGACTATAGATTGTTGTTCCCTCAGCCAGGCTCTACTTTTGAATTTTCCTTTTGCCTTCATCCCTATGGGATCCAAAACTCACTGGACCATAGAAGAGAGTCACAGAAGGTGCCACATTGATTCCATGAGAGCAAAGTTCTCTCAGACTAGAAGAAACCCTCCACAGTTATGTTGAATAATCTAAAAATCATACTTGAGATAAACAAAAACCTAAAAAGTAGCCTTCCCAAAGTTCAAATCATCCCTGCAGTGTTTAACTATAAAGTTATTCTTTTAGAAATGCTAGATTCCACTAATAAATATTGAATAAAACCATGTTATTAATAGCATAGAGCTCTATTACCCAGTATAATCTCTTCCTCTTCCCTTCAAGTTGGGGACAGAGGACACATCTCATGTATTCTGCAAAGTTAAAGATGCTTTTTTGTTTGGGAAAAGAGGGAAGGGGAAAGAAAAGCAGCAAACTAAAAGCAAAGAATGCTCAGAAGAATAAAAAAAAAGCAGTAGCTCTAACTGTAATATCCATGCAGGCTTCGGTTATGAAACCTTCAAAACTCATAAATTAGGAAGGAGACAGAGACACTGTTATTGTGCAGGTGTCTCAACCATTTGGACTTGTGAGAGATTTGTTTATCTTAATGTCAGCCCTGAAACCCAGTTTGCAGATACAGAGATTTACAGATATTACATCATTCCAAAGAGCTATCAAACTCAGTATCAGTACGCTTTCTTGATGGCTTTAAGACACATCTTTATTCAGAACACATTTCTATCTGCACGTTGTAAAGACACATATGACAAAAAAAACCAAAAATTCTAAAAATTAGCTTCAACCTCCATACCATAAAGAAAGTAATCAATTTCATCTTGGAAACTCTTATATTGTAGCCACATGTAAACAGTTAGGATTAGGCAGGTGATTAGACAAATCACTAAAAAATAATGTTGTCTTCTTTTACTTTCAATGCTTCATTCAAACACAGTTTTTGCTCTAAACTTAAGACTTGCAGGAGGTTGTAAAGAACTCTGAAAACACTCTGTACGTGAAAAACTGCTCAAGTATTTATAAGCCAGGAACACTTAACCCAGTACAGAAGTACTGAAGATGCAATATGATTTGTAGTCGGTCATCAGATTAGCCAGTAGATGAAGTTTAACCATTGTTTCAAAAGCTCTCTCTAAACAGCCGGTGGTAAACATTTTCAAACTTCAGGTTAAAACCAATTAACCTGCAATTTCCTCATGTTTAAAAAAATATTTAATCATTGCCTCATGTCAAAAATGCCAGCAGACCTTGCAAGGACTATTAATTTTTAACAAGTATTTCGGTCTACTTCATCTTCAGGACTCTTCTTCCTGAGTTGTCATTTTGCCTACAAAAAGGTCTACACTGTCTGCAGTCCTGTGCCCTCCAGTGGGAAAATTACAAACTACAGCTTAATCTGAAGCCAAAAATGGAATCTCTGAAACGTGGGACAGCAAAACAATCCAGACTCTTGAAAATCTTTACTTTGAAAACGTTACTGAAGGGAAATACTTTTGGTCTTCCCTGAAAGCTAGATCACAGTTTTCAACTCGAATATCTAAATATTACTTCCAAAATTTACTTACATTCAACAGAAGAATACTTACAATATAGAAGTCACTAAGATCATAAGCTTTTCCCTTCTTTTGTCCACGTTGATGTTGATAAACTCCCTTCTGAATGAAAGGCAAGGCATTTGTTCTGTGAAATAATTCAAAAATTATATTAAACCAATTAAATGTATTTAAGTTTCTTAGATACAGTGGAAGATGTTTTCTAAACCCCTTTTTAAAAGTAATTTATCCTACCTATTTTTTCCAAATTGTCGAAATTCATACACAGTAAGGGATCTGTCACACGCAAAAAAAAATCCAATCAACTCTCTACAAGCATCGCGACCATTTCTAGAAGGAAAATTGAAAAGCACCTTTATGTTTTTGCATCTATATAAATCCAATTCAACCCAAACATAAATAACATTTCTATTTTGGAACATGCATTTTCTTTCCAGTTTTTCATATTGTACAATCCTTTTCTTTGTAAGGGGTATCTATTTTCTCTAAACCACCATGGAATTCAACTTGTGGATTTGGACACATATTTTAATGCAATATTCCATTCTCCACAATGTTAAAAACACTTTTCAAGGTTTCATGTTTTAGTATACCAATGTAATTTTAACTCATTAACTAAAAAATTACTTACACCAAGACTACTGTGTTCATTATGCTATATGAAGCTGTGTGGCTGAATCCTCAGCTATGGCTAACAAGTATACAGCTCACTGCTTCAGAAAAGCACCACTTTCAGAGCTGAAGAATATGTTTATGTCACTGCTAGTCAATTCAGAACAGTTTCAAAGATGCCCTAAACCTGCAAGTTTAATACATAAGGAGCTACAAACAAGACACAAAGCTATCCTTTCCATTCACAGTGGTTGCACATACTAAGACAAGGCTAAAATAAATTTTAAACTGAGGTACAACAGCTAAGAGCACTATTTTACACAGCCCCTATGCTAACTGTCCTGCACAGAGCTACGGGCCTGAAGGGAATGTAATGTTACTCATGCATCCGAACGCTGTACAATGAGACTGTGAAGCCACTATCTATCAGACATGTCAAAATTTGTAGTATACATATATGCATATATATACCCACAGAGCACATACTTTTTTCTAAACATAGGGAACAGAAAGGTTCAGTGCAATTAATTATTTCAAGAGTGTAAAGATCATCATTCATAAATTCATAGAATTGAAAAACTTCACAAAATTTGCTGTTACCTCGATATAATCCTACTATCAAAGCGTAGCTTGTTAGAAAGCATGTTTTCAGTTAATCCTGATTTGGTCCTTATTCTGTGAAAATAATGCAGCATGTTAATGATACCTATATGCTGACAGAGAAGTGTTACATAAAAATCAACTGTTCCAAAACAGCAAAAAATGTGAAATACAGTATCCTTGGCAACTGGCTGAGGAGATGATCCCCTCATAGTTGAATTAGAAAGCAACTCAGAGTTGTAAGGTGGAAGGTGTTCTGTAATTATATGAGAGTACATTCACAGAAGGCACATATATGAATGGGATATTTTGTTTACATACACTTATATCAAGAATTAAACCTCTACCACTCACCACACATCCACCAATCAATGTGTTTTCTTGAAAAGTACCCAGGCTGGAGCTTCTTTACCCACCTAGATATTTTGTATTGGCCATATTACTAGTTCTGGAAATGGACATTTGTCCATGTGATGGGTGCAAGAGCTTCAGACTGGTTTTGTTGCCTTTTTTTTTTCTTTTTTTTTTTTTAAGAATGCAAAGATGACATTTGTTGAGAACGACTTTAGAGCAGGATGCTAAAACGTGCAAAGCAAGAGATGCTTGCCCGAACACTGAGAAAAATCAATGGAAGAAAACTCGGACCTGCAGATTCATTTAAATTTTATGGATCACAGTGTTTTCTCAGTTTTTCTTAAGCCCTTCGAGTTACTATTTCAATGCTCACCATCCAGGAATGACATTTAAATGCCAATATGGTTAATTATTGCAGCAGAAATCAAAACATGAAAGAAAAGTATGATTATATTGTGAAGATCTACATTAGCATTTACGGATGCATATTTATGCAATTTTATGTGTCACAGGATAGGAATCTCTAAAAGGATATGACAAGATTGCAAGCATTCAACAGCTCAGAAAAGGCTGGCAAAACCCTGTGATGAACAATATCAATATAAGCTTAAGAATGTTCTCCCAGGTTTTATAAATTTTATGAATCAGTCATTATATACAGAGAATCCATGTAAAAAGGTCCCACTAGGCAATTATAAGCATGGGGAGGCTACAAAAAAAGCCTCACATGAAGCTGGTGGATCTAAGCCAGAAATAAAACATCTGAAAAGGCAAACAGGCTTTGCAGAGCCCCAAATAATAAAAAATACAGCAGAAAATGTATTTCTAAAGAAAATGACCGCTAGAGAAAACTTACTTTGTTTCATGCAGCATTCTTTTTCTAAAACGCATTGGTGCTGTCCCAAGTCCCAGAAGTCCATGAGCTTCCTTATAAACATCAGCACGCATGGATTGCTCTGGGTCACTTATAACAGCTCTGACCAGAAAGAGCAGGGAGAAGCACTCTGACTATTAGTAAGTTTGAATTTCAGATCTTACATATTCTTACTCAGGAAAGAAAACATCCAAGAATAACACAGCAATAAAATCTTGGAGTTATCCATTATTTGTGGGCTTATTTTTTTGTTTGTTTTTAAAAATTCTGAAGTCGATTATTCAAAATCAAATATATGCAGTAATATTCTGGCAGTGCACTACTATGTAGTAACTTTACATGTATATATATTATTTAAAGTATATTTCATATATGTA